CCCCAGGAAACTGTCAATGAGGCGGTAACTGGCCTAGGAATGGGAGGGAAGAGGTGGGCCCCAGATCTGCTGCCTCCCCTTAAGAAAACTAGCCCTGCTGGGCCTGGCTCTAGGGTCAGTTGACCAGGCTGCCCCAGGGACAGCTGGGAAGTGTAGTTTCTGAATATCTGTGACCTGGGATCCTAACTTCCGTGCTCAAGTACTGCAGCCTCACCCTTAACTCCTTCTTCAGTCTCTCCACGTTGCGGATATTGGTCAGTTCTTCGAGTCCTACAAGAAGAACCTAGAAGAACCAAATAAAAGAGCAGGAGCTGGGGATCTGGACTCCTCTCCTGGTGTGAGGGAGGAGGATGCTGAGAGCTCAGACTTCCTGGTTTGGGGAAGAGGGCTGGGGAGTCTCACCATGGCCCCAAACACCATCTGGAGTAGCCTCTCCAGCCTCAGCTCCGAGGTCCCCTCCTCAGATGACAGCACAATGAGGGTGATACTGTGAGAAAGGAAGGTGAGAAGAAAAAATGATTCCAGGCCAGGGAAGCAGGACTGTGAGGAGAGAGTCTACCCTTGACCCTGGATGCAAGCTACATCTTTCGCCAGCTGGCACAACCTGCTTCTCATACAGAGAAACTCAGGGATCAGACAGGGTAACTGGCTTGTCGAAGATTCCACAGCCAAGTAAACAGCTGGCCTTGGAGACCTGGTAAGCCTCAGGGTCATCTTCAACAGCGGCCATCACCCAGCCCCTGGCCCTGCCCCAAAAGCTACAGCTTGGAGACCTGTCATGGAAGCTTTTCCACACCACGGTCGTGTCCTCCGTCCTTGCAGAGCTCAGCTGCACCTCGAGATTCTGCCCAAACATGTGTACTCCATTGAGGGAACCGATGACAGAGAACGGAAGCTGGGGGAAAGTTGGGGACATTAGACAGGAGCCCCCAGTCCCCTCCACCTTGGGACCCAAGTGTCCAGGGTCCCAGCCCCCTCCTCTTTCTACATCCCCTGGCCCTCCTCTTCTAGGAATCAAGATTATAAGACCAGTCATTGCACCCTTGGTCCTCTAAACTCGACTCTGAAACTTCCCCAGATCCTACTCCCCTGACGATCCAGACAGAGTCCAAGTGCCTAGCCCCCTTCTATTTTGAAGATCCAGGGGTCCAGAGCCCCACCTGCTGGCGGGCGGGGGCACCGCCGCGGCAGCTTCTGCAGAACAGGGGGACTCCGCTGGAGGCCGCAAGACAAAGCAGATGTACGGTGCCCTCGGTCCCCTCCTCGCCCATCTGGAACCCTCTCCAGTCCCCTCGTGGGGGCAGTCAGAGACCACCTTGGAGCAGGCCCGTGGTCACGCTAAGTCGGGCTGCCGGCAGGCGGTCCGAAGCCGCCGGAGGGCGAGATGGCGAGCTGATTGGAAGAGAAGTAGATTTCCCGCCTTCTTCACCCAACTCAAACCCATCCTCAGTCTCTATTCCAGTACCTCCCCCGAGCCGTTTAGGTGCTCTTCCGCCTCGACCGGAAATCATATGCCCCTAAGAAAGATGGCACCCATCGTACTTGTAAAGCTTCGTAGTTTCTCCCTAATTGTTCATTTATTTAAAGAAGAGAATGAAGAGCCCGGATTGAAGGTAAGGACGGCGCCAAGGCGTTGTCTGGCGAGCTTCAGGTAAACTAAGATGTTTTTACATTTTAAATTGATAAAGAGCTGTGCCCCACTTAAAGATGGTGGCTGCACCGAGGCGTTGCCTGGCAACTGCATTCCGTCCACTTTCCAGTCCAAGGTAGAGAGAGCTGTGCCCCACTCAAAGATGGCCGCATGACGTATCTCGAGCAAAACCGAGAGAAATACCATCTCCCCCTTCACCCTCGCGGGATGGTTTGGTCCGGCCAACGTTGCCTAGTAACCACCAAATGAGATGGTTGTTTTTGTTATTAGAAAAAGAAGGATGAAATCCTTTATTTTCCAGAATCATAAAAATAAGATTCTTTCTGTAATAAATTTATGCACTTTAGTGCAGCATGCCGAACGTGAAAATATTCCTTCCCAAACCTTTCCCGAAATAAAAAGTTGACAGTTTAACCCAGAACATTAACACAATTTGACAAATATGATCACTATGTTAATGTTGCCTTCAAACTTTTCCTCATTAGACCAAATAAATATATGTCGTTTTTTTAAAAAATGTCTTTTTATAATCAACATTATGGATCTAACAAAATCAATTTAGCCAATTCCGGATTGACATACATTAGTTTCCTTCTTCTGTGTGTTTAAACTGATAAAGTAAAATTTCATTTAGTTCTGAATATAATGAGCTAGAACTTTTCTCTTTTGTGAGAACAGGGGCCTACGTTCAACCAAATGTATTTACGAAATGTATAGTAATGTTTAAAAAAATTGCTTCCTTTCAGACATGTTTTGCCTGCATTCTAGATTTGGTTTCTTTCTTTCTTCTTTCTTAAGATTCATTTATTTATTTTACAGAGAGAGCATGACCAGGAGGGGCAGAGGAAAAGAATATCCTGCACACTCCTGGTTGAGCCCGGAGCTCAACAAGGGGCTCAGTCTCTCAACCCTGAGAACAGGACCTGAGCCGAAATCCAGAGTCAGACAAGGCTTAACCTACTGAGCAATCCAGGTGCCTCTCTAGATTTGATTTCTTTTTTTAAATTTATTTTTATTTTTGTTGTTTATTTGAGAAACAGAGAATTAGAGAAAGAGAGCCTGAGGCAGGGGAGGGTCAAAGGGAGAAGCAGACCCCCTGCCCAGCAGGGAGCCCAGTACGGGACTCCAGGATCTTGATCTGAGCTGAAGGCAGTCACTTAACCAACTGAGCCACCCAGGCGCTCCTAGGTTTGATTTCTTTCTTTCTTTTTTTTTTTTTTTTAATTTGACAGACAGAGATCACAAGTAGGCAGAGAGGCAGGCAGAGAGAGAGAGGAGGAAGCAGGCTCCCCGCTAAGCAGAGAGCCCGATGTGGGACTCGATCCCAGGACCCTGGGATCATGACCTGAGCCGAAGGCAGAGGCTTTAACCCACTGAGCCCCCCAGGCGTCCCAGAAATAAAATCTTAAAAAAAAAAAGAAAGAAAGAAATTTAAGAGATATAATGTCTAAATATGTGTTTGGTCTTTGGATTCTGATGCAGATAAACAATGGGAAAAAGCCATTTTGAGAGAACTGGGGAAATCTGATTGTGGATTTAGTGTTAGATGACACCAAGAAATAATTTTGTTGGGGGTGTATGGTGGTTGTATGTGAAAATGCCTGTAACTTTTTTTTTTGTAAAGATTTTATTTATTTATTTGACAGAGAGACACACCGAGAGAGGGAATAGAAGCAGGGGGACTGGGAGAGGGAGAAGCAGGCTTCCTGCTGAGCAGGAAGCCTGATTCGGGACTGGATCCCAGGACCCTGGGATCATGACCTGAGCTGAAGGAAGACGCTTAAGGACTGAGCCACCGAGGTGCCCATGTCTGTAACTTTTTAGAGAGGTCTGCCAAGGATGTAGAAGTAATATGATAGGATGTTGGGGCTCTACTTTAAAAGGCTTCAGCAAGGAAAATAAAAGCAAAAAGGGTTGGAAAAGGTAAACGTGACAAAATGGCAATACGACTGTATGTGAGAGGAGGGCACCGTTTTATCTTTTTTTTTTTTTTTTTTAAGATTTTATTTATTTATTTGACAGAGAGAAATCACAAGTAGGCAGAGAGGCAGGCAGAGAGAGAGGAGGAAGCAGGCTCCCTGCTGAGCAGAAAGCCCGATGCGGGGCTCGAACCCAGGACCTGGGATCATGACCTGAGCCAAAGGCAGCGGCTCAACCCACTGAGCCACCCAGGCGCCCCGGCACCGTTTTATCTTAAAGTACATTGCCAAAATACACTGGGGCAAGTGGTGCTGATTCATAACCCTTCTAGACTGTATCTGAGCCCACACTCTCCCGCCCTCACGGACATTATTCTTTCCAATATTAATTAACGTGACAAAGGTAAAATACTTTTTAATTGGTGAAGATAAGCAGTTTTCAGATTTTTTTTTTTTTTTTTTTTAGTTTTCAGATTTTTACTTGCCATTTTAAATGGTTCTGTGTGGGGGAGAGTCTCCCTACCACTAAAAAAATATATATTTCTATTTTCCTAAGTGTTTATTGATGAGTAAGATGTATTTATGTAGTAAATTTCAGTGAACATATATGTTACAAATGACTTTCCCAGTTTATCGTGTTTTTTCCAACTCGGTTTATAGTCTTTTGGACAAATTGATCAATATTTTACGTTTTCTGGCTTTGCTGTGATGATAAACTTTTTTCCAGGCTTCAGGATTGTACAGTGTGTTTCTTTATTCCTTCTGCTATTTTTAAGGTTTCATTTGTTGCATTTACATTTTTAATCCACCTGGAATGTATTTATGTTCTAGGCCAGTTTCTGGCCGCTCTCCCAGAAAACAACAATCAGGTGTTGCCTAGCAACCGCCACTTGGGTTGGAATTAGGCTTCTTTGAGGGGGAAAAACAGCTGCACTCCCCCCCGCCCGAGTGGAAGGCAACCTCGAGCGTTGCCTAGTAACCCTTTTCAGAGGACGTGATTGGACCCTTCACACGACCCTCCCCCTCCAATCTCCCCGCGCCAGAAAAAATTTAACTAGAAACCTAATCTCGCCGATAGAAAACTAGGGCAGCGTGTGCGTTGCTTAGCAACCAGGTCTCCTGACCCTCCCACTGAGACCTGAGTCGGAACTGGCGCCTCGCTTAAAGATGGCGGCCGACTGCTCCTCTCTCAATATATGTCACTCCACATCCTGACAATGATTCAGTCTTCCCCGTCAGGCCCCCGAAGGGGTTCGCTGTGCTCTTAATCTTGCACGCGGTGCGTACCAACGAGGATGGACACAGAACCAGCGCGCCCTGAGTGCCCCGCACAAACATGGCCGCAGGCGCGTCGAGCGGCGGCGCTAAGACGTCCGGCGCCGGTGCACGCGCAGCGCAGGCGCACTTCCGCCCATCCCGCAGCGGCGGCGGCGGCGGCGGCGGCGCTGGCGGCGGTGGCGGCTGGGGCGAGGGGAATGGTCCCCGGGTCGGAGGGCCCGGCCCGCGCCGGGGGCCTCGTGGCTGACGTGGTGTTTGTGATTGAGGGCACGGCCAACCTGGGGCCTTACTTTGAAGGGCTGCGCAAGCACTACCTGCTTCCGGCCATCGAGTGAGTCCCGTTTCCGCGACTTCCAGTCCGGCCCTCCGACTTTAGTTTTCCACGGTTTCTTGCCTGACCCCGACCTTTTGCCTCCGACCCTCACAGGTATTTTAATGGTGGTCCTCCTGCCGAGACGGACTTCGGGGGCGACGTGAGTCTTGGGACTCCTGGGTCTGAGGGAGGAGGAGTTGGGGACCGACTCCCGGGTCTGAGGGAGGAGGAGCTGGGGACCGAACTCCTGGGTCTGAGGGAGTAGGGAGCTGGGGACGGGACTCCCGGGTCTGAGGGAGGAGGGAGCCGGGACCGGACTCCCGGGTCTGAGGGAGGAGGGAGCCGGGACCGTACTCCTGGGTCCGAGGGAGGAGAGAGGAGGGAGCCGGGGATCGGACTCCTGGGTTTGAGGGAGGAGGGAGCTGGGGGTGGACTTCTGGGTCTGAGGGAGGAGGGAGGTGGACTGGGGTCCCAGGTGAAAAGTTCTTCTGTCCTCTCCTCCCAGTATGGGGGGACCCAGTACAGCCTCGTGGTGTTCAACACGGTGGACTGCGCTCCTGAGTCCTACGTACAGTGTCATGCCCCCACGAGCAGCGCCTATGAGTTTGTCACCTGGCTCGACGGCATTAAGTGAGCTTTTTCTTGTGCTTGCCGTGGGTTGGGGGACCCTGCAAGGGATCCTGAATGGATGGTGGCTTGGTTTGAGCTTCAGGAACCGTCCCTCACACTGGGTGGCTGAAAGGGCTGAGAGGGATTGTTTTTGTCCATAAGTCACTTCCGCGGTGGGTTCTGTGTGCTCAGCGGTTTTGCCATCCTGTGTGGAAGTAGAAAAATCTTCCCAGTTTGGGAGGCCTGTTGAGCTCCAGCGCTCATCTGGTACTATGGGGTCCTCCACGTTCTGCGTGATTCTCCACGTTCTTTGGCTGTTTCTCATCTGTACTCCAGTCTTCCTTTTTCAGCTGGGCCCTTTGAAGCCTGAGTGCGAGGCGGGGTGGGGCCTAGGCCAGGACAGATTCCTCTGTGCTTAGGATGGGATGTGGAATGTTCCCTTTGCCGGCCCAGTGCGGGTGCAGACAGCCTGCGGTCAGATCACAGCTAAACGGGTCAGATCACAGCTAAACCACGACAAAACTCCCAGACTCGGAGGAGTCCCTGTTCCCTTTGTGTCTACTGTAGTTTATCTCCTATCCCTTTTGGGGGGGGGGGGTGTTATAGTACTTACTTATTTGTTGTATTATTTATTCTCAATTGTGTAATAGATTGTCCTAAAACTTAGTGGGTCCAGACCGTAAATGTTAATTATTCTGTGCCAGCTCTGTAAGTAAGGAATTCAGGATTGGCTCAGCAGATAGTTCTGGCTCAGGGTCCCCTGAGGTGGCTGTTATCCAGGGGCCTGGCCCGTCCGTTGTCAAGGTGGCTCACTCTGTGGCTGCGGAGTGGCCTCCTAGCGTGGCAGCAGGCTTCCCTCAGCAGCACAACAGAAGGAGCAAAGAGGAGGCTACGTGGGTTTTTATGATCAAGTTTTGGAAGTCACACAGCATTACCTCTGCCGCATTCTGTTCAGTATGGCTGTCAGTCCTGTTCGGTGCGGGGAGTGTGCGCGGAGCTGAATGCCGAGGGTGTAAAATACCACGAGGTGGGGGGTCATTGGGGGGCACTGGCTACCAGGACTTCATAGGCATTCTTTGGGAATTAAATGAGTTGGTGACCCCTTCAGACAGCGCCTGGGATGTATTAAGTGCTGTGTTTGTGTTCGCTGTTGGTTCACATCTCGGTTTCTTGGTCGGTGAGGGGATGATGGCAGTCCGGATCTCTGGTCTTAGAGGATCAGAGGAGCTCATCTTCCTGTAGTGCCTTCATCCTGCCGGGCTCGGTGTCTGGTCTGTGGTTTGAGTTCACTAAACGGCGCCGTTTCGTGGCTGCTGTTCTCTTCCTACATTTGCTCAGCACGTGCTTGCTGAGTGCCTGCTTGGTTCCAGACGGCATGTGCTGGACTGGGGGCTGCCCGTTCCCTGGGAAGTTGACACCCACGTTTGACCCTGCATGGTCATTCGAGCTGGTAGTCAGGACAGAGTGGCATTTCCTGATCTCAGGACTGTTGACGCTTCGGGCTAAGTGATTCACTGTGGCAGAGGCTGTCCTGCGCACTCCCAGGAGTTCAGTATTCGCCCTCGCCTCTAGCTACCAGGTGCCAGGAGCCACCTCCAAGTTGTGACACACAAAAATGTCTCCAGACATGGTCGGGTGTCCTCTGGGTGGCGAGTTGGGGGGACAAAACCCACCCCAGCTGAGAAGTACTGAGATAGATTGTTGCGAGACTTGAATAATGGTAATTGGGGGACTCTTTGAGGCCCAAGTTCAAGTGTGATGTCCCTTAGGTGCCTAGCTCCGAGCACAGGGTCTGGCCTGATTTCTACCTGGTGACCCTCGAAGCTGCAAGACCCGGCTCCGGTGTCCCTCCCCGGATGCTGGCAGGCACCCAGTCGCTCCCTCCTCTGCGCCTGCCGCTCCTGGCTGTTGCCCTGTCATACTCCCATGCCTCTGAACCGTGAACGTCTAGGTCCCTGGTGTCCCTTCTGCTTTTTTGTTGCCAGCTGGGGCCTGGCACCCAAAAGGCCTCGGGAGACCTTGACAGTAAATCAGTGAGTGAAAGCCATGGAGAAGATCATCACCGAGAAACCAAAAATTCTGGTGGTGTTGACTTGTCAGGACACGCAGTTAAACCTCCTTATTTACAGCTTTCCGGGGCGCCCGGCCGGCTCGGAAGAACATGCTAGCCTTGATCTCAGGGTTGAGTTTGAGCCCCATGATGGGCGTAGAGCGGACTTAAATAAGTAAATAAACACTTTTTAAAAATCTTAAAAATATTTAAGTAAATAAGTCTTTCCAAAGCGTGTGGAAGAGAAGAGGGAAATGCTTTCTGAGCACATTTGGCGCGCATCCACGCCTCCTCTTTAATCAACTTAGAGTCAGCTTTAGCCAAATGAAGGAGCTCTGTAGGCTGTGTGCTCACCTCGGAATCCTCCCAGTCAGCGGATAAACGTTGGCAGTGCTCATTGTTTCAGCAAGTCCTGTGTAACCATCTAAATTCACTTTCTGTGACTTGGCCGGCTGCTCCGGCACAGAGATCACAAAGAAAGTCTGTGGGCTTTGTGCACACTCGGAGAAGAAATCTTATCTTCCTCCGGAACGTCCGTAACTTAGGGAACAAAGCATGCAGTGTGATTTGTGAAACGTCCTTGCTTTGGGAAGATCTATTTCTGCTGTTCCATTTCCTTTCTTTCAAGAGGGGCGGGGTTGGTTTTTTTTTTTTTTTTTTTTTTTTATCTCCTCCCCTACAGCAAATGACCCAGAATCAGAAAGAAAGGATAGAAGGAAAAGGAGCCCTGAGTGTTTTCTCCCTAGCACTGTGACCGTCTGTTCGTTCATTCATTCATTCCTTCAACAGGTGTTTGTGGAGCAAACTGTCCTGGGCGCTGAGGCCTTGGGGATATAAGGCAGCCAGGTCCTGGCCCTCTTGGAGCTGGTGGTGTTCACAGCTGTGTGACTGGCCAGGCGGGTCGAGCCTGGTGGCTGTTCAGTCACTCATTTTGACCAGTACCTTGGGGGGCCTCCAAAGGCTCATTACCCGTGAGGGTGGGCAGTGAAGACTGGGGCGAGGGGGGGGGTTGGGCAAGAGGCAAGGGAAGCAGTAAGAGGCCGAGCCCACCCTTGGCACCAAGCACTGCCGCCTTACTTCGCGTGTGCACCGGTGAGGGCTTCGTTTGGAATTACGGCTTATTGTAAACTCGATGGTATTCAAAACGTATTTTGGAACAGACCAGGTTTTATTTCTGCTCCCCATTTTTCCAGCCTTTCTCGTTTCTCGGACAAAATATGCGTTCCGTAGCTCTCTGAGTGGGTAACAGGCAGCCTAGCTCTGGAAGAGAAAAGCGAGTTCCAGGATCTCAAAGTGATTGGTCGATCACACGTTCCCTCATATGTTGCTTTTTTAAATTGTGGTAAAATTCGCATAACAGAGCTGATTATTTTGAAGTGAGCAGTTCCGTGGCATTTATTCTGCGTACACTGGGCAGTCACATGGCCCCAAAACATTTTCACGTCCCTAAAGGGAGATATGCACACATGAAGCAGCTGCTCCATATCTGTGTGTGTCGTGTCCGTCCCCCCCCACCACCACCGCCTTCTGGCCAGGCCCAGCCAGGACACTTTTTGCTCCAAAAGCCTCATGAAAATAGCGGTTTGATTTATTTGGGAACAGGAAGCTGCGGCAGAGCGGGTGCGGGGTCCGTTCCATCATTGGGGGCTGCCCCCCAACCCTGGCCTTCTGGTTCTCGTGCGGAACAGTCTTGGTGGTAGGGAAGAGCAGGGCTGGGAGCAGGGGTGGGGGTAAGGAGCAGCAGTGGGGCCTGCGTGCCCAGAGAGGGAGAACGAAGGCTTCGAGGTCACAGGGCCTAGAGTGAGAAGGGGGCGGAAGCCTGCAGCTGGTAAGAATTGGCGTGAGAACTTGGGAAGGGAGCAGAGGGTTGAGCTGCTGTGGCTCCCGCATCCAGGAGGCCCCGTGTGTCCTCGGGCACCTTGCACACAAGCTGGAGACACCTCGGACTGGCCGCTTGGTCCCCATCACTGCAGGCTGCCCTGGCTCCGGGCGTCAGGTGCGCTGTGGAGGGAAGCCTGACAGTCACGGCCTCCAGTGACATGGCATATGATTGAGGGTGGGCCCTAAAACCAGGTGGTCGCTGAGGCAGGCTTCCCGGAGGAGGGGATGCCGGGCTGGGGAGGTCATAGGATAGATAAGCAGGGATTTTCCTCCTGGGCCAGAAGAGGGGTGTGTGTGGTCACAGCAAACAGCACAGGCAGGAGACCGGTTATGTGGCAGAGCGCGGAGACCAGGGACATGGGAGGCATTCTGGACGGCTTGTACCAGAGGAGGATGGAGCAGGAAGGTGGGCAGAGCCCTGCGCGTGGAGGGCCCCAGATGCCCAGCTGAGAGCTTGGCTTTATTCTGGTGTTAACGGACACGGCTGGGCTGGCGGCTCTTTGTTAGGTGCATACGTGTGCGCGTGCGCAGGTAAATTCCGTGCAGCGCGCGGGGCTCGAGCTCTGACCCGGGGTTCAAGAGCTGTGTGCTCTACCGACTGAGCCAGCCCCACCCTCTCCTTTAGCCATTTTTTTTTTTTTTTAAAGATTTATTTATTTACAGGGTACCTGGATGGCTCAGTGGGTTGAGGCCTCTGCCTTCGGCTCAGGTCGTGATCCCAGGGTCCTGGGATGGAGCCCCGCATCAGGCTCTCTGCTCGGCGGGGAGCCTGCTTCCTCCTTTCTCTCTGCCTGCCTGTCTGCCTACTTGTGATCTCTGTCAAATAAATAAATAAAATCTTTAAAAAAAAAAAAAAAAAGATTTATTTATTTATTTATTTATTTATTTGACAGAGATCACAAGTAGGCAGAGAGACAGAGAGAGAGGAGGAAGCAGGCTCCCCGCCGAGCAGAGAGCCCGATGCGAGGCTCGATCCCAGGACCCTGAGACCATGACCTGAGCCGAAGGCAGAGGCCTTAACCCACTGAGCCCCCCAGGCACCCCTGTTCACCATCTTTCCTCCTGCTCTGCTCTGCTAGCATGTGGTCACTGTGCACACATGCACCTGTGGCGAGAGTCGGCCTCACTGCCCCGTGATGGGAAGAATCCCGGTGGCAGCAGCTGCACCACTTAGAGGCTGTCCCCCTGCCACGCCCCATACGGGCTGGTCACTGGTGACCTGTCTGCGCATCCGATGGAAGGGAACCCTGAGTCTGTGTAGGAGTTTCCTGGGGCTGCCGAAATGAAGTAGAAAGAACTGATCGGCTTAGGGGTGCCTGGAGGGCTCACTCAATTACGCATTTGACTTGGGCTCAGGTCATGACCCCGGGGTCCCAGGATCGAGCATGGCTCGCCTTGGGCTCCATGCTCAGTGGAGAACCTGCTTCTCCCTCTCCCTCTGCCCTTCCCCCTGCTCATGTGCAGGGGTGCATGGGTGCACTCGCGCTCTCAAATAGATAAATAGAATCTTAAGTTAAAAAAGAAAAAAAAAACTGGTTGGCTTAGGACCACAGAAAGGTAGTGACTCACAGTTTAGGATCCAGGAGCTCAGGATCAGGGTGTGGGCAGGGCCATGCTCCCTCTGGAGCCCGTAGGGGAAGATCTTTTTCTTGCAGCTTCTGGTGTCCCCACACAATCCTTGGCTGGTGGTGGTGCACTCTGATCTCCATATGGCTTTCTCCCTCTTTCTCTACATTTTCTTCCTTCTGAGCATGTCTGCCTCTGTATCCACGTTTCCCTGTTTTGACCCTAAGGACATGGGCCACCCTGTGACCTCAATGTAGTGTCCTTACCTCTGTAAATACCCGTTTCCAAAGGTCACATTCTGGGATTATTCGGGGTTAGAACCTTCAATATCTCTTGGGGAGGGGGACACAATTCAACCCTTGACAATGGGAGGACAGAGGAGGCCCCCATATTGGCCTGGGAGGGTGGGCTAAGGCCAGAGCTGGCTTTAAAGGTGGAACACACAGCCCTGAGGGGAGGTGCATGGAACGAATTCATAGGCAGGTGTCCTGGGCCTTCTCCTGTCCTTGATCTAGCAGGACCTCTGGCCGGAGGGACTCGGTCAGAGGAGATGACAAGCAGCCCTTGTCCACATTTGGTAGGCCTGGTGCCGCGTCAGCGCTGGGGATGGAGCAGGAAACTCCTCGGTGGCCCCATGCCCAGGTGCAGGGTAGAGGGTGGGGAGGAGGGCGACGACGTGAACTCAGGCTCTTTAGGTGTGGCGGGGTGGGGGGCTGGGAGGTGGCAGCCCTGGGTGCCACAGGGGACCCCAGGGCTGACAGCCTCACCCCCTGCAGGTTCATGGGCGGGGGCGGCGAGAGCTGCAGCCTCATTGCAGAAGGCCTCAGCACGGCCCTGCAGCTCTTCGATGACTTCAAGAAGATGCGGGAGCAGATGTGAGTGTGCCCAGCCTGTGGGGGGCCCCCAGTGCCTCTTCCCGTCTGGCTTTGACTCCACCCACTGCCTCCTGCCCTGGAAAGCTCTCCAGGCGGGAGCCAGGCCGTGTTCCCTGGCCAGTGCCTGGTCTTGGTGTCCTCACCGGGAAGAGGAACCTGCTCTGGGTCTGCCTCCTGCTTTCCTTACCTGCTGGGCAACTCAGAGGGAGTCAGGAACGTCTTTGGGCCTCGGTGTTCTCAGCTGTGAAGTGGGGCCATTCCTCCTGACTTCCTGTAGGGTGGAGTACTTGCCCTCGGCTGGGCCTGGTCTGTCCCTTTCCGGGGCCTCTGTTGTTACCTGCTCCAAGTCTTTCCTTCTCCCTGGCAGCGGCCAGACACATCGCGTCTGCCTCCTTATCTGTAATTCGCCCCCATACCTGCTCCCGGCCGTCGAGAGCACCACGTACTCTGGGTACACGACGGAGAGTCTCGTGCAGAAGATAGGGGAGGTGAGGACTCTTGAGTCTGAGGGAGGAGCTCTGGGAGGAGGGGCCTGGGGTCTGCGGAGCTTCGAGCCCCTCTGCTACTCCTTTGGCAGATCTATAACCCAGAGGCCCACGAGGCAGCTGATACAGGCCCAGGGTCCCTTGGCTCAAAGCCCGATGGGAGTTTTGCTTAAGAGCCCCGCGGGTGTGGTAGCCTGGGGGTCTCCTGACAGCCCTGCCCTGACGGCGCCTCTCTCCTCCTGCAGCAAGGGATCCACTTCTCCATAGTGTCTCCCCGGAAGCTGCCTGCCCTGAGGCTGCTGTTCGAGAAGGCAGCTCCCCCCGCCTTGCTGGAGCCGCTGCAGCCACCAGCAGACGTGAGCCAGGACCCCCGGCACATGGTGCTGGTGCGGGGGCTCGTGCTGCCAGGTGAGGCCCGAGTGCCAGCAGTGGAGCGACTGGGGGTGTCCCCCCCCCCCCGCTCCCTCTGACTTAGATTTCTCTCCCCTCTCTAATCCCTTCGCATGGGACTCGGTCGTCCATCCTTTGCTCTCAGTTGGGGGTGGTTCGGCCCCAGGCCCCCTCCAGCCAAAGCAGCCTGTCCCCCTGCCTCCAGCTGCACCCTCGGGCGCCTCGCTCTCAGCAGCCCCCCAGCAGCCTCTTCCCCCTGTCCCCCAGCAGTATCAGGTATGGACGTGGCCAGGGAGGGGACGTGCTCCTGGGGCCTTGTGGGAGAGACCTAGCTGGATGTCGGGGCTTATGGGGTGATGGGGAGTCTCCACTGGGACCCCAGGGTGGGTGGCACTCTTGGGGCCAGAGAATCACATCCCTCTGCAGGGATGGGAGTCACCCTGCGTGATGTGATGGCCAGGATAGCTGTCCCTTGGGTGGGCGCAGTGGTGTGACCCCATGGGACACTCAGACTGGAGTGCGTGGTCCTCATCACCTTCCACCCCCAGGTCCCTGGGAACCTGAGTGCAGCTCAGGTGGCGGCCCAGAATGCAGTGGAAGCCGCCAAGAACCAGAAGGCGGGGCTGGGCCCACGCTGTGAGTCCCGAGGGGGGACATGGGGTGGGCTCGGGTCAGCCGGGCCCCTCTGCACATCTGTCCCCGCCTTTCCTCTTGGTCTCTCCTGCAGTCTCACCCATTAACCCTCTGCAAGCCGCTCCAGGAGTGGGTCCCCCCTTCAGCCAGGCCCCGGCCCCTCCTCTGCCGCCGGGGCCCCCTGGCGCCCCCAAGCCACCCCCTGCTTCCCAGCCCAGCCTGGTCTCCACCGTGGCTCCTGGCCCAGGCCTGGCCCCCCCTGCACAACCTGGGGCACCGTCCATGGTAGGCACTTGCACACCTGCCCCGCTGCCCTACCCCCCCCCCCAGCTGCTTACAGAGACGAGGCCGAGCAGTTTGCCTTCCCGAGGAGGGTGTGAGGGCACATGGGTCTCGTCCTGGGTCCTCAGGGCTTCTGGGGGCTTGTGCCACAGACGACTGAGGCAGGAAGGTCTGGGGACGGAATGATAGGGTTTTGGCTCCCAGCGGGTGAGGACTGTTCAGAGGACCCCAGGAGATTCTGGGAGTTGGAGCGTCACGGGTCCTTAGAGTCCTCAGATCTTCCGGAGTCAGAGCATTTGTGGTCCCAGGCACCGTTGGGTGGTGTCGAGAAGGAGCCTGAGTTCCAGTCTTCCTACTGGTCTGTCTGTCTCTCGGGTCGCCCCTCCCAGGAGACAGTCTGACCCGGCTCCACTGTCCTCCTTGCTCCCCTCTGGCAGGCGGGCTCGGTGGCCCCTGGCGGGGTGAGCGGCCCTTCCCCGGCCCAGCTCGGGGCCCCGGCCCTTGGGGGGCAGCAGTCGGTCTCCAACAAACTTCTGGCCTGGAGCGGGGTCCTCGAGTGGCAGGAGGTGAGTAGCTCGAAGAGCCACGGGGACCTCACGGCCTGTTTGGATGTGGGGCTGGGCTGGGGTCCCTGTGGGGCTGTGGCACTTGGGGTCCTGAGGAGAGTCTCAAGGAAGCCTTGAATTCAGGATGAGGGAGGTAGTAAGGATTGTGTTGTAGGTTCAGAACCTAAAAGTCTCAGATTTGGGGCGTGATGGGGCTTGAGGGGATCAGGGCAGGGAGGGGACAGAGGTTGCAGGACCGCTGGTCTGGAGGAGGGGCCCAGGGCTTGTGGGACTTCAGCTGGGGCAGGTCCTGAGCTCCGGGGCCTCCAGGGTAGGACAGGAGAGGTTGAAGGGCCCAGGCTTTGGGGCTCTTCTCGCCGTGACATGTGCTGCTTTTCCACTCAGAAGCCCAAACCTGCCTCCGTGGACGCCAACACCAAACTGACCCGCTCACTGCCGTGCCAGGTCTACGTGAATCATGGCGAGAACTTGTAGGTGACGGACGGTAGGGCTGGGCCGGGTGGGGCCGGGCTTGCAACCTCCTGACGCCTCTCCCCCCTCACCCCCAGGAAGACGGAGCAGTGGCCCCAGAAGCTGATCATGCAGCTTATCCCGCAGCAGCTGCTGGTGAGTGGCCCGAGGGGGCACCGCCCGCCCCTCCGGTCAGCTGGTCGCATTCTCTTCCCTCGTCCCCTCCCTGCCCCGCACCTGCCTCCATCCCTGCTCCTCCCTTCCCCACTCCGCACGCCGGCCCGCGTGTCTCCCGTGTCTCCCGCAGACCACCCTGGGCCCTTTGTTCCGGAACTCGAGGATGGTGCAGTTCCACTTCACCAACAAGGACCTGGAGTCCCTGAAAGGCCTCTACCGCATCATGGGCAACGGCTTTGTGAGTCCAGCACAGGGCGGGCCGCGGGTGCCTGTGGAGCTTCTAGAACCAGCGGGGCTGGGGTGCCCCTCCCCCTCCTCCTGAGGGGTGACTGGGGCGCATCCTCCGCCAGGCCGGCTGCGTGCACTTCCCCCACACGGCCCCCTGCGAGGTGCGCGTGCTCATGCTGCTCTACTCGTCCAAGAAGAAGATCTTCATGGGCCTCATCCCCTACGACCAGAGCGGCTTCGTCAACGGCATCCGGCAGGTCATCACCAACCACAAGCAAGTCCAGCAGCAGAAGCTGGAGCAGCAGCGCGGGGTGAGTGACCGGGGCCCTCTCCCCCCAGGACCCGCCCCTGCCCCCCCCGGGCCCCTGAGCCCCAGCGTCCCTCCTGGGCTGAGACGTGGCCACCTGGGTTCAGTTCCTTCCCCACATGTTCTCGAGATCTTTGTATGCCTTTCACTGTCTGTAGCGAATCTCTGAGGCCCAGCCCCGCTTCTTGGGGGCTTGGGAGAGTTAGGTGTACCTCCCAGACCACCCGCTCCCAAAGAACATCGCTAGCTCCCGACGGGCTCCCTTTCAGGGTTCAGAAGGCTACCCCCCGCCCAAACACAGGGCCCCCACTCCCAATGCCACCCCGTCACTGACCTGCTCCCTGTCCCACACAGATGGGGGCACAGCAGGCACCCCCTGGGCTGGGCCCCATTCTGGAGGACCAGGCGAGACCCTCACAGAATCTGGTGAGGAGAGGGCTGGTGGGGTCAGGGCCAGGGCGGGGGAGACCCCCAAGGAACACTGTCATTTTGACCTGACCTCGGAGGTCAGGGGAATCTGCCTTGTCCCTTACCCCCATCTCTCCCCACCAGCTCCAGCTCCGCCCACCACAGCCCCAGCCTCAGGGCACTGTGGGGGCCTCCGCAGCCTCAGGACAGCCCCAGCCCCAAGGTGCTGCCCAGGCCCCCCCAGGCGCCCCCCAAGGCCCTCCTGGAGCAGCCCCTGGCCCTCCCCCTCCTGGACCCATCCTCCGGCCTCAGAACCCTGGGGCCAACCCCCAACTGCGGAGTCTCCTCCTCAACCCACCTCCGGTGAGACTTGGGGGTGGGGGGCAGATGGGAGTCATGGGGCTGCGCCCTGGGCCCTGATGGTTCTGGTCCTTTTGTTTGGGAGGAAGGAGGTTGGCTTTGATCAGAGGGTGTGAATAGAGCCCTGCCAAGGGGTCCAGGCAGTCTGGCTCTTCTGTCTGTCTGACATGGGCTTCTGCTAAGATTCCTTTGAAGAAAGACCCCCCCCCCCACAGCCACTGGGAGAGATGTTCTCTGAGTAGCTTCTGTGCAAGAGGTTGCTCCATGGGGTGGGGACTCTGAGCCACTTTCTTTGTTCTCGCAGCCCCAGACTGGGGTGCCTGCACCCCAAGCCTCCCTCCACCACCTCCAGCCACCGGGGGCTCCTGCACTGTTGCCCCCACCACACCAGGGTCTGGGGCAACCCCAGCTGGGGCCCCCCCTCCTGCACCCACCGCCTGCCCAGTCCTGGCCCACACAGCTTCCCCCGAGAGCTCCACTGCCAGGTAAGGAGGTCCCCGGGGAGGGCAGGGGTCTGGACCGACTGTCCCAGCAGCCCCTGGGCTAGAGCCTCAAGACCAAGGGCTCCTGGGAACTGAAGGCTGGGATTCAAGAATGGTAGCTGGTTCCCCTGACCCCAGGGTTCTTGGGAGGCTCTGAGGGATCCTGGAAAATACAGTCCAGGGGGTCAAGACCTAGTGGGACAAGATCTCTTTTTGTGATTTCTTTCCTGTGTGTCCCGGGGTTGATGGGAAACATAGTCTTAGGGTCAGAGAAGTAGTTTGGGGGATGGGCTCCTAAAGGCTCATGGGAATCAGCTCATTTGTGACCAGATGGGGCCAGAAGGTCCCTCTGATGGTTCTCCCTGGGGCTTCCTAGGAAAGGTATTACCTTGGGTTCCCAGAGGAAGAGGGAGGAAGCAGGTCCAGGGCCCTCTAGGGCCCCAGGGACTACTGGGAGATGCAGTCCCTTCCCCACTGCCCCCCAGGTCAGATGCTGCTGAGCGGGGGTCCCCGGGGCCCGGTTCCCCAGCCGGGCCTGCAGCCCAGCGTCATGGAGGACGACATCCTCATGGATCTCATCTGAACCCCCGACACCCAATAAAGTTCCTTTTAACACACGCCCCGGCTCCCGTCACTGACGTCCCCCAGGACTGGGCAGGAGGAGACCTGGGGGAGACCTCTCTGTCCTTGTTCTTGCTTCAGCAGATGTCCCTGAGGCTCTGGGCTGGTGACGCCTGGGCCCCCGCAGTGAGTCAGGCAGTCTGGTGCAGCCCGGCTTTGGGCCGGGGCGGGTGGGACGTGAAGGCAGGCAGGCAGAGCTCACAGGGCCGTGCGCCCTCGCGGAGATAGGGCGGGTGCCCGGAAGAGGCCTCTGAGCCAGCTGGGCTCCGCAGTCCGGGAGGAGACTCGGGAGTCGACGAGACCGAGAAGGAAGGCAGGTGGTAATCTAGGTGCGGGCACAGCAGAAGCAAATGTGTGAGGGCAGGAGAAGGCTTGGGGTGTTCAGAGGTGCAAGCCCAGCAGGAGGAAGGAGGGACCCGGAGAGGCCAGGTTGGGAGGAGGCTCAGGTTCCAAACTGAGTGGCTCAAGGCTTGTCCTGAGGACGCGAGAGAGCCAGGGGAGGCCACGCGCAGGGCGCCGGTCTGGGCCAGCTGGCTGGCAGGGCCTCCGGACTGTCGAGTGCCATGGGACAAGGCAAGGCCAGGAATGCATGGGGGAGGCTGGGGGGGTGGCCTGGGGAGGGGAGAGGCTGGTGGAGCAGCTGGACCAAGTCAGGGGGCAAGAGGGGCGAGTCTGGGGACTCGGCATGCCATGCAGAGGAATTGGGGGTGAAGAGGTGGGGTCAGGGTCGGCCTCGGCTCCTGGCCTGGGCGCTGGTAGATGGCGGAGCTTCCTGCATGAGGGGCCCGGAGGAGGGAGCAGCAGTGAGTGCGCACGGTCCGGGGAGTGTCGCAAGTGACAGAGGACGTGTTGGGAGTTCAGAAGTGTTGTTAGGAGACGGCGTATGTGTGATCGTTGGAGTCATGGGAGTGGACAAGATCACACGTGAGGAGAGACTGGCCCCAGGTCCCAGAGATGGACCTTCCCAGGCTTTGGGTGGGGTGGACAGTGGGGCAGTCCCTGAGATGGAAAACAAGGTAGGGGGTAGGTTTGGGACGTGGCAAGGCAAGAATGTCCTCGGAGACATCCGGGTGGGGGGCAGCTGGCTACGGACAGGATGTGGAGTGCAGGGACGGTCCCACCCGGGGGCAGGGAGTTCGTTGTCTGTTGTCAGACTCTAGACTAGCTTTGCTTGGCGTGTGGTCCAAGCCTGGACCACCAGCATCTGCACTATTTGGGATGCCAGCTAACATCCGATTCCTGAGCCCCATCTCAGGAGAGAGGTTGCAATCTGGTGGCCTGTGGGCCACTCTGCAGATGACGTTTTGTTTGGCCTTCCCTGTGTTAGCATACGTAGCATTTTTTCCTAACGAGTTAGTTGTAAAAATCAGGATACTTCACACACACACACACACACACACACACACACACACACACACTCTCTCTCTCTCTCTCTCTCTCTCTCTTTCTCTCTCTCTCTCTCTCTCTCGCTCGCACACACACACATACACACACACTCCTCACACACACGCACACACACACCCAATCTGCAGCCTTCGCTTCTCTTGACAAGTCAGAAGTTCTGGCACCTCTGGGCCCGCCCTTCTGCCTAGCAACACTGGGCTGGAGCTGCCCCTTTCAATGGGGCGTGTGCTCTCCGGTTCGCCGCAGTCCCCACCACTCCCGTTTGGCTCCCCCACCGCGAGGCAGAGGGTCATTGCCTTTGGGCTTGCGCTGTGGTTGTTCCTTGGTAGCATCCAGAGGCAAGTGAAATCTTTCTTGTACCCATGTCTCTATCAAAAGTGGCAAAACGAAAGAGAGACCGAGAGGGCCACGTGTTTCGAGAAAAATGGGAGCGAGCGTATTTCTTTGTGGAAGTGAAGAGCATGCCTATGTGTTTAATATGCAAAAAAATCGTATCTGTGTTGAAAGAGTACAACCTGAGACGTCATTACGAATCAAAGCACAGTAAGAGCTTCGACCAGTACACAGAGCAGATGCGAGACGCGATCCTCAGTGAGCTGAAAAAGGGCCTCAAGGGTCAGTAGGGTTTGCTCCGGGAAGGACGCAGGTCCGAGAGGCAGTGTGGCTGCAGAGCGCAGTTCGAGTCTCGAGCACAGCACGGCCCGGGCGCGAAAGCCTCGCAGCGATGGCGAGTTTGTAAAGGAGCGGGACGGCGGCTCCTGGACGGACGCGCCCGCCCGTTCACACTGTCCCTTCGGCCTGACGGGCGTTTGCACTGTGCCGTGAGTCGAAGATGAAACCGGAAGATTTACTAGTCCAGTCACTTGAAAGAGTCGACTCCGTCGTGGCCTTCTCTGTCGTTGCTCACGAACTCTGACCACCCAGTTAGCTTTATTTATTTGTGGTATGAAGAATTTGGATGCGACTGAAGAAGTCTGTGACACGGTGCCCAGGCAGGCCCGACACTGGGAGATGGGCTATTTGGGTGTGTATTGACAGAAATACACAGACTGGCGAGAATTCCTAAGCACAGTCGCAGGCCGTCGTAGCTAACGATCTGCGTCACAGGCGGCCTTGTCAGGACACCTCCGTCCCAGGAGGCAGCGCTCCGCGAGAGCGCAAGTCAGCTCGTTGCCTCGATCGCCAGGAGTTGAATTGTGTTCAGAAGGAACACAGAACACACCGCGGACGTCCTCGGCACGCTCCTGCACTTCAACCACGGGCAGGTGGACGGTGACCTTGACCCAATGTATTTGACAGAAGCTCTGTGACCTGGTCATCACGTGATGGTGTGGAAGGGATCCGCACTGTTGAAACCTGTCGACTTGGTTCATCTGCAATGAGACAGAAGCCACACCTGGTTCCCCTGAGAAGGTCGGTCAAAGACTTTTGGTCGAGGCTACAACCCCCCACCCCCACCCTCCGAACACTAGTTCTCTGCAAAGACGTTCACAAACAGCTACTTGAATGTATGACCGTGTTTGCCCGGTCCTGGCAAAAACATGGAAGCCACTGGCAAGGAACAGTTCCTTCGCTGCAGTTGGTTTTCAGAAACAAAACATGTGGCCTGGACCATATTCACCCAGCTGGTGGGGCTCGAGACCAAATTCCCCCAAAGGCTCTCCACGTCCAGACTTCGTGATAATGAACTAGCACTGTCCAGTTTGGCTCCGCCGGTTACTGTCGATCGTGTGAATGCAGACCACAGGCAGCACCCGCTGAACTACAGGGCTCTAGGGTGCGGGGTCCGAACCGGAGGTCACGGCCCTACCCGCGCCTCCTACAGTGGTCTTGAGTCATGGGCTTTGGAGGTGCCCGCGCTTGTAAACTGCGGTTTTCCATTATAGAATTGATTCAAAGTACATAACCGTTCCCAGTTAAGGATTCAGGGTTGAATTCTAAACTGCTCATCCCAACGTGACAACCAAGGCCTGACGCTGACCTCTTGGTGTAGAAAGGGGCGAGGTCAGGCGTCTGGCTTCAAAATCAAAGGGGCAAAAGAATTATGAAAGAGAAAATTTTAATAATTAAATATTTCTATTTTTCAATTTGTATTTTTTCAATTTTGAATTTGAAATATAAACTCCAGTATCATCCATGTTTGTATTCTGTTCCATGCATTCACCATCGTGCAGTAAAAATACAATTTGATGCTAATTCTGGCCGTCGACTTTTCTGCTGCCTGGCTAGTTCACTCATTTATGTGGCCTGCCTGGCTCCTGTCGGCGTTCGAGTTTAGCGTCCCTGCCATGGCACTGCTGCACGGAATCGGGGTGGGAAGGAGGCTGGGAATCGCCATTTTAACGAGCCCCCTGGGTGGCCCTCGTGTAGGCGAAAGAGCAGGAGACGCTGGAGGTGGCCCCAGGGCAAGTGGGTGGCGCTTCCCAGGCAGTGTGTGGAGCTGGGGTTTTTGAAAACTCATGGCTTCAGGGACCAGGCAGGTGATGGAAATGCGTGAAGCGGACGGGTGTAAGACAGTAGGGAGTGATGGGGACTGTGGCGAACTTGCAGAGTGCCCCCCCCACCTAGTGGCATTCACATTGCAACAACAACAAACACTGTGAGGACCAAACAAAATCCCCTTGTGCCTCTGACAAGGCCATCGGGCCGCCATTTTGCGACCTCTGGAAGAAGGAGAAGACACGGGGACAAGGACAGCCCTGAGATAGATCCACAAATCCGGGCCGGGCGGGGAGCCGGAAGGCAGGCGGACCAGGCAAGTGTGTTCTGGAAGCTGAGCGTTTCTGAGGAGAGAGCGATCGGCAAACCTGCTGCAAGGAGAAGCCAAGGGGCGAGCAGCCTGTGCGGTTTCCACCTCTAGGAGTAGCTCTGCCGGGGGGAGGGGGGAGAGACACAGGTTTGAGTCCCGGACAAACTGACTGAAAAGGAATGTTTCCAGTTGCTGGTTTGTCCATCTGTGGCCAGTGAGGCCCTCTGGACCTCAGCACCCGGGTAGATGAACCAAAGGGACCGGCCTCAGGGACCTTCAGGTCCCCTTCAGGGACTGCCCTGAACCAAAGGGACCGGCTGCATGTTCATAAGGTGAGGCAACAGAAAGCACGGGGTTCCTAGAACGCCCAGAGAGGGAAGAAATGTCCAGGCACCTAGAACTCAGCTGCGCGTTCCCCAGTCCTGCCGGGTAGAGGCGGTCGGCTACGTGCTTAATGTGCCTCTTAGAACCAGCCAACACCAGGAGCACATCTGGGAAAGGTTTTCTCGGAGCGCAAGGTACTACTATTAAAGCCACTTGAATGGAGGAAGAAATAGTGAAAAACTTAGAACAGCAGGGGTTAAACTCCGGCTGCTGCGCCGATTAGCTCTGGCGTTGGGCTGGTCTCTCTGCCTCCCTGAGCCTCAGTTTCCCCCAATGTCAAGTGGTAGTTTTCCCCCAAAGGACTGAGCACATGGCAGGCTCAGCACAGGCCTCCGCACAGGAGAGCTGCTCTTAGCCCCGGCTGTCCTCACGGGCCAGACGTACTCCTAGAAGCCACGAGTAGTGAGTAAACCTGTTCCTGTAAGTTCGGAGTCACCAGAGCATCCATGAAGGTCATCACTGGGTGAGCGACTTGTTGGAAACATTTCATTTTGGATCAGTTTGCTGTGGGACCACACATCTAGAGCTGGAAGCAAGACTAGGAAATTCTTGAGAATTCTCCCAACTGGCAATAATGGGAGGACGTAACTGGGAGAAAGAAAAAAAAAGATTAGGACAAAAATGCTTAAACACCAGCATGTTCATTGTGAACTTGTCTTGGGTAAGAGAAAATGCCCGCCTGATGGAGAAAAACTGAGAAAACAAGACCTTCTAGAAAGGGTATATTGGCTCAAGGTACACAAAACACATATTTTTTCCACAGTTTTGGGTTCTTATTTTTAAATTAACCTTAAACGTGTATTGAGTTACACACATGATTACAGTTTCACAAAGAGAAAAAGGCACCGAAGTATATAGAATAAAAAGTTCCCTTTTGTGCCTCTTTTCTCCCCTCAGCCCAGATGTGGCCACACGGCACTGAGGAACCACTTTCTGTCCCAGAGGCAGATGCACCGTTTGGTGCTTGGGTTTCTGTGTATTTGGTTGTTGAGACATTTATAGGCTCCAGTGTTTCTCATATAAATGGGGTCAGTTTATTTTGCCCCCCCCCTTAAGTCGTGGCCTCCTGTCCATGTCATTGCACATGGCCCCAAAATGGCCCCATTCCAATTCCACATGGAGTCCGGCCTGTAGAAGTTGTCGATGTGGAACAGACCCCACCAGTCACTTACTCAGGCAGCAAGCATCTGTCACACAGTCCCTCTGGGTCAGGAATCCAGGCACAGCCCAGCTCGTGCCTCCAGCTCAAGGTCTGTCCGGGCTGCAGTCTCATCTGAAGGCCCAAATGGCGGAAGGCCCATCCCGAGCCCATTCATGGGCTTGCCGGTGGGTTTCAGTCCCTCAGAGGCGACTGGACCTTGCCTCAGTTCCTCGCCATTGGCCGGAAGTCTCCCGCTGCTTCTGACCACATAGGCCCCCTCGTAGCGCAGCTTACACAGGCGCTCGCTGCTCCGGAAGCGAGAGGGCGGCCAGGATGGAAGCCAGAGTCTCTTTGTAGCCCAGTCACAGCAGGGGTAGCCCATCGCCTGGGCCATATTTTATGCATTACAACAACTCAGTTGGCCCCAGGCACACTGAAGCTGAGGCGTAATGAAGGGAGTGTAATACCAGCAGGTGTTGGGGTCGCAGGGGCCATGTTAGAAGCGCTTTGCCACACCACGCGTGACGGTCGGTTAGCTGTGCAGGTTCTCACATAACCAGAAATACTGCCGAGGCGGAGCGTGTAGGGATTTTTACATAGGTTTCTGCTAGCTTGTGCAGGCATTCCTGTGGGATTCAGTCTTAAGAGCAAAATTTCAAGATCGAACAGTGTGCCGATTTTGTTTGGATTTAGTTGACCTTTAAAAATTGAGTTTACTTTTATTTTTTAAAAGATTTTATTTGAGAGAGAGTGATCGAGAGAGAGAGAAGGAGCAGGGGGAGGGAGAAGCAGACTCCCCGCTGAGCAGGGAGCCCCATGTGGACCTCGATCCCAGGACTGAAGGGTCATGACCTGAGCCAGAGGCAGATGCTTAACCGACTGAGCCCCCCAGGTGTCCCATGAATTTATTTTTTGCATTTATAAAACTATGTGGTTCACAGTTTAAGAGGCATCAACCTGATGCCTAGTCTCCCAGTTCCTTCTGGAAATCAGTTACCAATTTTCTACTGTTTTTGTTGTTGTTGTTGTTGTTTCATTTTAGTTTTAAGTAGGCTCCACACCCAACAAGGGGCTTGAACTCATGACCCTGGGATTAAGAGTCACATGGTCTACCAACTGAGCCAGCCTGGTGCCCCTCAATTACCAATTTTCTTATGTGTCCTTTCAGAGCTTCGTACAAGCTGGTGGAAGCAGACAGAGACATAATCGTTTTCTGGCTCTGCTGTCCGGTGGCAGGCTAGTTTATATTTTTAAAACAGCTTTATTGAGGGCTAATTGTAATTATATGTGTGCACGTATGTAATATGCACACAGTGATGAATTTGGACATCTACATACACCCGTGAAGTGATCCCTGCGATCCGGGTAGACATCTGTCACCTACGAGCTTTCCTTGTGTCCTTTTGGATTTCTGGGGGGGGCGGGTAAGAGCACAACCTGAGATCTACCCTCTTAAGTTTCGGCTCACAGTGGAGGATTGCTAACTGTCAGCACTGTGTTATACAGCAGATCTCGACCCCTTAGAGTCCCCCGCTTTCCTCGGTGGGTTGCTTTTTTTTCATCCGACAACGTATCTTGTCGTTTATACCAGGGCGAAAAGCCCTCTGTCCTTTCTCATGGCTGCAAAATATTCCTGGTGTGAACGCCTCCATTTCCTAAAGCCCCTATTACGGGCCAGATAGGGCGCCTCTGACCTTTGTGGGTCCCGTTTTGAATTGAGACACAACTCCCAATTGCCCCTCCCAAAACCACCTGGTTTCTCACTAGTTTGTGGGTGTGGATCTCCCTGCACGCGGAGAGGCACGGCGGGACGCGGTCATCTCTATTCGAGCAGGAACACCTCTGGAGCGTTTGGAACAGTGTGCTGGGGGCAGCTGTGAGAAGTGCTGTGACAGGGACCGGAAGGTCCCGTCTTGACTTGATAGTCATGGTGTGCCTCGGAAACGAGGGACAGGAAAGCGAGGCATTCGCTCCTGATGCCCCTCATTTTTTTCCATCGGGTGCGGGTCACGGGCTTCTGAAGTTAATCAGGAACCTGGGCTCGAGAACCCCCTCAGCCTGTCCTTGGCGGTGACCTCAGGCTCTTGCCTCCCTACCTGTAGAATGAGGATGATAAGACTGCCATCCTCATGGCGAGAGTTTAAAAGGGAAACGCTAAACATAGTGTTCAGGAAATATCTATTATTACTGCTTTCCCAAGAGTGATCCTTTTTCAAATAAAGTGATCCGGGCTGGCTGACGACCCGCCAGGTTATTACTGAGAACCTTGAGGACCTTGCTCGGATACCAGGAGGCAGCTTCAGAGGCCCGGTTGACCCTGAAGGTGGTAAATTTGCAATTCGTTTGTTTGAAAAATATTGATTGGATGCCTGCCAGGGGCCGGGAATGACGCCTTGGAAAGATGGGTGGCAGATTGGAAAGATTGGCAGGAAGTGGCCAGGTGCCTCGCCTTGCAGACAGTTCTTTCCTATCTGTCAGGGGAGGCTCTAAGAGAGTGACCTTGAAGGGCCCTTGTGAGACTTTAGTAACTTCCCCCCCCAGAGTCTAATGTGGGTCGGGCTGTTCCCCCTGGTGGCTGTCCTCCAGTAGGAACTCAGGAGTCCCGCTGCTTTGGTTCAATAACCAACCCCTTCCTTGTGGGGTCTTCGGTCTCCAGCTGGGAACGGAGTGTGGGCATGAGAGTACACGAGACTGGTACCTGCCTGGGACCAGAAGCGATGCTCCTGACATCAGGATGCCCGTGCTTTTGCTCCCCCTGGTGAGAACGAAATCATCCCAGT